CCCCCCCCCCCCCCCCCCCCCCTCACGTCTTACCATTCCCCCAACGACAACTAGAATGACCGGTGCTTTTGTCTTGATAGAGATGGTAGCACAGTACAGGCAAACGCGCGCGTGTTACCCTCAAGACACACAGCAGATTACGAGCAACACACTAGCACGCACGCCCTCAGCCGCCGCCGCCGCGGCCTCGTCGCACCTGCACCGCCTCCGTATGTCCGGTAGAGCCGCTGCAAACCTCGCCGTACGTGGGCTTCTCCACAGCGCCCTGCGTGTACCCCACGGACGTCGCCACCACCCCAGGCACGCGCTGGAAGGCCAGCTCCAACCCCCTGTTGGCACAAGTTGCAATTATCAAATGCAAGTAATTATTTCTAAGTTGTTCGAGATGCAAAAAAAATCTTGCCTCGCCTAGTGTGTACCAAAAAACGAATGGAGGAACGAATACGGGGACGCCCTCTCTCGAACCCCGTTCTTGAAATTTGCATACATAGAAAAAGAAGGCAGTAAAGCTTGTGCTCACCAGTATAGGCTGCGACTCCAGTGCTCTTGGTGGGTATAGAGACTTGTGACTGCGAGCTTTGTGTGAGCATAATGAGGTGGAAATGTGTTGTGTTGGAACGAAATATTGTGCCCGTGTGTCTACGTTTCAACTCGAACGCAGGCCTGGGCTCGTCGGCGTACGGCACTGACCCGCTCGCCAGGAACCACAAACCTGACCTTTTTCCGTAGGGGGAATGCCGGGCTAGCGGGGTGTATGCCGATACCTTGTGGCGGGGCATTCGTCTCTTCAATGCTAGACACTTTCGGCTGCTTCAAGCACCTCAGCGTGGCGTTTTCTGCAGCGGCGTTCTCGTGTGTGGGGGGGGGGCGTGCTGCAAACCGCAAGCACCTACCGCCAAAGAACTTACACAGGCCTCTAACGATATACTCGATCACCAGCAACATGACTAGCAAACATACACCTCGAGAGGTCCAACCTAAGTCAGGAGCCTCAGGTTAGATACGGAGTCCATCAGAAAGCGCTCACCAGAAACATCCACCAGCGAACGTCGCGATGTCGTGCCCAGCTTCGCTCTTCGACGGCACCTGCTCAGCCAAGAAGAGGTTAGGGATGCGGGGAGCGAGACATGGAGGTGGGTGAAAGGGAAGGGGAGACAGGCCATCACACCATGTACGGCAAGCACCACCGCAGGGGGTTGTCCCTCCGCTGGTGCGCCGGTAGTTATCTGCGAAAGGTGAGTGGTTCAGGCGTAGTAGGGCGATGGCATGGGCAAAACGCGACCCCGTCCGCGGACGGCCGGTGCGCCCGTAGTTATCTATCGAGAAGTGTGTGGTAAAGGCGTGGTGGAGCGATGGGATGGGCAAAACGCGACCCATCTCTAGCTGCTGCTCACGTCTCCTCAATAGCAAACCGTTTTGATCCTGCAAAACCCGAACCAAAACAGTTTTCTCCACGTGTTCTGCTGCCTTAGCTGCCCCTCCTCCCCGTCTTGCCCTTCTTCGCCCAGGAATCAAGATGATATGCCTCCGCAGGCGTGGCTATTCTATTGTTGTCCGCTGCTACTGGTGGTGTTACTGGTCCTCACCTCCCCCTTCAGCGCTGCCCTAGCCGCCTCTGCTGCCCCGCCCTCCAGCTCCTCGTAGTTGACCTCCTTCTTCTTAAAAGGGTTCGAGAACATCATCCCCATAGAGTTTCTGCTGCCACGGCTGCCGTCAGCGCACGCTGTCACATGTTCGTGATCGTTTTCGGGGTTTGGTCAGGGTGTTGAACAGATATGAGACGCTTTCACGGCGCAAGAAGCACGTTTCCTTTGGACCGAACCCAAAACAAACAGCCGGTCTCCGTTACAGCATCTGGAATGGTGTTTAGTGCGGTTCGAAAGCGGGCGCGAGAGAGAGAGCTCATGCGGCGAGGGGGGGGCTAGGAGGTTGGGGTATACAGACTGAGATCGTGGGACAAAGGGATGGAGTGAACAAACGACGGAAACGAGGAAAGAAGCCGTTGGAATTCCGCATACCTTGCCAGAGACCCAGAATCACGAGCGACACCGAACCATCCTCGTAACAATATACTGGTAATACATAACATAAAACTACTACAAACGTAAGAGGTGAGCAAACAGAGGAAGGGGTAGACGGGTTCATGGAGAAAAAGACTGTACCCGTGCATGCCGCAGTCATTAGACCATTGACCTCGCGGGGGCGGGGTCCGTTCTTGTAATATTTTAAATGTTCTGCAGACAATCTTCTTCGAAATACTCCATTGCTGTGTTGGCGAAATGAACTTCGTTGACGAAAATCGATGTCTAGACTGGCTTGTCCCAACATGACCGCGCTTGTTTGCCGCCCCCCTCCTTCCAATGAATCTGCCCGCATGGGGTGCGGGAACACTACGTACGACGTTGTGGCTCCTTGTACATATTTAGACTCTTTGGTGGCCGAAGTTGGTACCATCCGTGTCAACTGAGCCTGCCCCACCGTCATGCCTAAACCGCCGTAGGCACTCATTCAAGCAAACCCCAAGGTGCGGGTGTGTCTATATTGAAGGCGAGTCTGAATGCATGTAACGTTGCTACTACTGCTGTAGACTAGCATAGGACGCTTGTTATTAGTGTCAAACAAAGGGAGTGCCTCGAGCCAGCTGTCCCTCAGGGGGGTTGTGTTGAAGTCGGCATGCAGCAGTGTGCACTAAGTAGTGAAGATCAGCGACGGCTGCAGGATACTGGAAATATTTCCGATGTGTTCCGATGTGTGAGGGTTCAGTGATGCCCGCCTGACTAAGTGCTAGAAATCACCACTGCTGGTGCTTTTGCAAGACTCTTCAGCCCGTCAGCCCAGAGACCAAAAAAGAAACAATTGGAACGAGATACAAATGCAACATACAGAATCAGCACGACGCGAACAATCTCAGTCGAACCCAGCACGCGCGAAACAAGCCACGCTCTTGTACGAACACGACACCACAGCAGTAGAGCTGGCTACGCATATGTGCATCTGTTCCTGTCGGCACAACAGTAGTGACACCTCCAAGACTCACTGAAAGCGGCGACGGGCGACGACCTCGGTGCAACCGCCGCGGGCAGCGCCTTGCCGGCGAAGCTGCTCGCGCCTGCTGCCGACGACGGCCGCAGGCGGCCCAGCACAGCGAAGGCGCTGACCCCATTTCGTCCGCGCGTGCTCGCGGCGAGCGCTGAGAGGGGGAGGGGGGGGAGGGGGCATGGTCAACGTGTCATCTTTGGGATAGGACGTTTACATGTCATCAAGAGAAGGCACCCGCCTACTTCGAGAGGAGGTGGAGTGGCTACCAGAGAGGCACATGATGAGGCAGCGGGTGTGTGTTCTCATCGTGTCATTGTGTCAGGTCATCGAACAGGCACACACCCAAAGCTAAACCGCCGCACTGCTGTACCGTACTGCCCCTGTCTCTCGGTCTTTTTCCCGTTCCATCGTTCGTGGATAACAAAGGACGGCGTGGCACGTAGTCGGCGCGACCCTCACCAACACAACCTCTTGCGACTCTCTTACTCCAGCTGCCGGGCTACAATGCAAAGGCGTGTGCTGACGCGCTGACGCGAGACACGTATTCCACCGCCTGCCGCGGCTTGTGTTGTTGCTGACCACAACGCCTTGATGTGGTGAGAGACAAGAGCTGGGAGTTCACCTGCCGAAAGCATGAAAACCCTACTTGTCATCTTCATGTCCCTGCTGGGAAGTGTGTACCCACGTATGGATCTGTTTCCACGTGACGACGAAAGGGGAGCGTTAATGATGTGGTGCATGGGAACCGCGGTGGGATCCAACCGCCCGTCTCGCCCCGTTACATATGGGGACCCGGTAGACGAACCCCATGGGGTTCGTGGTAAAAACGAACCCCCGGGGACAAAAAAGCAGCTTTTCCCGATAAACATGAGGGAGGCATGTTGCTTTTACAGCGTAGTTCGCGAGCATACAGCGGGCACGCGCTGAGCTTGCCGTCTTGCCGTCTGAGGGGAGCCATCGTCACTGCCAGCAGCAGTATCGCTCAGCTTAACCTCGCAGTGCCTCCACGACCAAATTTGGAGCTCGAGAACGGCACTCCAGCGAGTAGCTTCAGCACGAACCTTGTGCGGCGCGGCAGCAGCGAACCACCACCACCTCCGGCGGCAGAGCACACACTTGGCGTGTTGTCGCAAGTCGCTTCTCTCCTGCTGGTGCAAATCTGTACTAGTAATACGCACGTTGCTCGTTCCTCGCTCCGGGGGATCACTCCCCACCTTTTGTGCGGTGCGACGGTGACACTTTATACTGGGCAACTGGAGTAAATATTACGATGTTTGCCCAGGTAATGAGGAACCCAAGCACCCGCATGAAACAAAAAAAAATTAATGAAAGTAATGAAATGAATTAAATGACAAAGATTTTATGAAACCATGGGAGGGTTGGGTGGGACGGTTCAATCGGTACTGTAATTGATTTAAATGTATTATTTGTATTATACCCTAAAATTAAAAAGATGAATATGCAAGCGTTCGTACATCGCACACGTGCCTCGCAAGCATTATTACAACCACACACCAAACCCCCCTGTACAACCGCACATCAGGAGTTTGGCTGGCGGATGCGGAGAAGAAGAGTTATAAAATGAAATGGATGACAGAGATTTTATGAAACCAAGGGTGGGTTGGGCGGGACGGTTCAATCGGTGTTGTAAATGATTTAAATGTATTATTTATGTACGCCCAAAAATTAAAAAGATGAATATGCAAGCGCTCGTAAATCACACACTAAACCCCTTGTATAACCGAACACTAAACATGTGCTGCTGGGTCGGGGTAGGGTTAGTCATAGGGTATATTAAAAAACAAAAACATTCGTACCAAAACTAAAAATCATTTTCTATATTATATAAATAACAAAATGGCATCAACTTACAGCGATAGGGTAATTATGACTTTAGACCATACACACCAAAATCGATCTGACTTATCCGATTACCTTGTACAACACGGAGCTCAGATGGTATATTCGTGTATTGAGTATCATGATGGTACAAAAGAAAAATTGATGGAAAGAATAGCTGATCCTAATGACAAGTTAGATATTACAAATTTTTATCACATGTGTGCAGTAGCCTTCGGAAAATTTAATAAACAACATATATGTAATAGAGGTCGAAAACATTTCCAGAAATTATATGATAATCCTGATCAACATTATTATAGTGTATTATATTGTCATGCAAATAAATCAAAATCAGGTAAAGTAACATATGAAAAATGGCCATTTGACGAGATGTTAAAATGTATATCTGAACCATCAGAAAAAAAAGATGTAGATCGAGAACCATTAATTGTTCACAAAGACGGAGGTAGTTACACATTAGAAGAAATGTACGAAGCATATGAAGTGCATTCTGATATGTTTAAACGAGTAAGAGAAATGAAAACTGAAAGGATTCCACAGAGTGATATAATGGAAGACTTATTTGAAAGTGTCAGTGGCGATGATAAAATACCAACAATAAATTTGTTTATCCAATATTATCATTCCTTAGATATCTCAAGCGTCCCAAGATTGTTAAGAGCAACAATTGAATTAAGACCATGGCAACAAAGAATATTAGCATGGGCCAAGGCGCCAATAGACCCAGAACAACCCCGTGGATTATGGATGAATTTAAAATCTGGATCTGGTAAAACAACGGTATTACAGGCAATATACGATTATTTCGGTCAACACAATATCTATCAGTTACCTTATGGACCTGGAGGTTATGACTTGGTATCAATGTTTGATTTTGAAACAGAACCTATTATACTCATTGATGAATTACGTTATCACATTGACGATAATGGAGTATCAAGACCTAAATCTGATTTAGTACAAGTATTGAAAACGATTACCGAGGATTTCCCTATAACCGTAAAATTTGGCACGAGAAAATATCGAACCGTAACACCTAAGGCTAAGGTAATAATAGCTAGTGATTTTCCTAGATTATATATTCCCGATCAACACGGAGCATGTCCCATAACACGTAAATATATAAGCTCGAGAGTGAACCTCTCATTACCTGGGCAAACATCGTAATATTTACTCCAGTTGTCCAGTATAAAGTGTCACCGTCGCACCACACAAAAGGTGGGGAGTGATCCCCCGGAGCGAGGAACGAGCAACGTGTGTATTGCTAGTACAGATTTACACCAGCAGGAGAGAAGCGACTTGCGACAACACGCCAAGTGTGTGCTCTGCCGCCGGAGGTGGTGGTGGTTCGCTGCTGCCGCGCCGCACAAGGTTCGTGCTGAAGCTACTCGCTGGAGTGCCGTTCTCGAGCTCCAAATTTGGTCGTGGAGGCACTGCGAGGTTAAGCTGAGCGATACTGCTGCTGGCAGTGACGATGGCTCCCCTCAGACGGCAAGACGGCAAGCTCAGCGCGTGCCCGCTGTATGCTCGCGAACTACGCTGTAAAAGCAACATGCCTCCCTCATGTTTATCGGGAAAAGCTGCTTTTTTGTCCCCGGGGGTTCGTTTTTACCACGAACCCCATGGGGTTCGTCTACCGGGTCTCGTTACATATACGGCCGGATATATTCCGCGGAGCCCCCGGCTGCGATTAACACAACACACACAGCATCAGGTAAAACACCGCGCATTCAACTAAGGACAGCCAACGAAAACGCGCAGGGGATTCGAGCGACCCAAGGAAGAGCAGAACTCTTGAATCTCCGAACTCGAAAACAGCATATGCTTGTCTCGCCAGATCTGCCACGCCTCGGAAAAAAATGGCTGCGCCTGCCCCTTTCGCTCTCTGTGGTTGCGAAATCTTTTGTCGAAAGGATGCATGTACTGGGACACCAAGCGAGTATCAGTGTTCAGCAGAATCCGGGATGATATCAAACAGCCTCAGTCAGCAAAATTTAAAACCGGGAAGGCTTTTAGAGCGGAAAGAAAAACATGCATGCTTCCGTTCCTGCCCGTTTCTCTGCAAAAGTGATCTGGATCCTACCGGTTCAGCAAACTCCGTCTCCTGCATTTTTTCGCGCATCAGCCAAGCAAAAGGTCGGGGTGACACAACACCATCCCCCGGAGGGATCTGACAACAGGTTCGAGACGGGAGTGTTGGCTGCTTGCACCGGCGTACCTGTTGCAGAAAAAGAAAATAAGAGCACATCAAAGAAGATCCACGCTTGCTCGCCCCTCCCCCCCCCCCCCCCCCCCCCCCCCCCCCCC